TGCATCAAACGAAACACAGTAAACCTTCTGCGTAAATATAGCACGTAATCCAATTTCAGACATCACTCCATTGTTCACAGTTATGTGTAAAAATAATATTTACGTTCCTTGTTCACACATTTTCATGGTTACCCTACATAGTTTCGGAATGTCATTGTCAAAGGTTCGCGCGTGTTGCAATGTATTGAATTAGGATAGTCCGAATTTATTCGTATGCAAATTTTGACAGCACTAAGGTCGATTTTGTTGGCTAATATGAGCCTTATGTATGTATACATAGTATTTCGTAATGTCGTCAAGTGACTTTGGACTTTGGGACAACCCCTTACGGTACTTTATTAATATGTATTTAGTAAGTAAATATAGATATATGTGTTGTGGTGTATGTAATATACGTAGTAATAGTAACTAGTATTGCATCATTTATCAGTTTAGATTAAAAACCAGGATCAAAGACCTTCTCCTCGATTCGAAAAGACGTTTATTTCGATAGTTTGAAAGTTCGATCTCCAAAAAACAACCAATGTAGACAATGATGTAATAATTTTTATTACGATTTACTGTAAACATTGAGTAATGTAAAATTTTGAATAATACAGACAACACAAAACATGTGACTTTGTATGGTTTGATGAACATGAAGTGCTAGGAATGGCTAAATGAGTTGATAAACCACAGATTATGGTTGTTTAGTTCCATCAAAGATAAACAGACAAAAAGCGAAGCATGTGTAGGTAATGTTTTTTGTTCATACATTTATTTTATTATTATATAATGTGTTCGTAGAATATGTTCGCGTGCGCAAAATTGACGATAAATTACAATTCAGTTGCAAAGTTCAGGGCTGACAAGCGAACAAACAGTATCTAGCTAGTACCTACCTATGATTACATACATTTATTTGTTTTCTTAGTGTGCATAAATTAGTTGAATATTTAAAATATGAAATATGTTTACTGGCTTCCAATTTGTTACATGTCGCCTATGTATGTATGTATGTTTCAGTACCTATGTGTGTGTAGGTAATTCTGTAACGGTATTTTTGTGAGTTGCATATACAGGATGTTTCTAGTAAGGTGTTAGCCGCCACTAGCTGGTAGCAGGGTTTTGAGCAGGGATTTTAACTAAAATAAAAAAAAGAAAGATATTCCATAGCTTCTTACTAATTTTAAAAACTGTCCAACTGTCACGTAATCATAAAAATAAAGAATATCTCGTAAACTACAAAAAAAGTAACCGTACGATTTTTTGTATACATACATGGGGGTTAAATCGATAAGTATGGAACCCTGCTACCAGGTAGCGGCGCTAACACCTTACTAGAAACACCCTCTATGTAAATTAGATAGGACTAGAAGCACGTTGCGTTCTTACAATTTACAAAGTTCATTATTGCATCATAATAAAAATCACAAGCAAAAATTCTTTATTGCATCATTTATTATCTATAAATATGTGTAAAAATAATGTGCAATTTGTTTTCCGTCTATGGTATGTATTGTTACACATTCTAATTTCAAGCATGAAAGCATGCTTTAATTGAGCACTTGTCACTTAGTAGCATTTGTGCCGAATTTGTGCAGAATGTTGTTCAAAATTAGAATGCTCATTTCGGGCGTGCTGGCGAATCGACAGGCGTTCGATTTTTAAACATTTTTGAGCATGCTCAATAGAACGCCATTTATACCCGAAGGGGTAGGCAAAGGTGTTCATTATGCCACTGTACAATGTAACACCCACTTTTCACTATTTATGTTATGAGTCCCATGTAATAGGGGGTGAGCCTAAACAAAATAAATAATAGTCTGTCAGTAAGTCTGTCAGTGAAGCTAGGTGAAGCTAGGTTAGCTAACTTTAGAGCATGCGTAACAATACCTACCTAACTCTCGGTACTATACCCAATCTATAGTCAGGAGCACAAAGGATCACAAACACTAAACATTACATTTTAATTATTTTTGAAGCGATATAACAGGTAAATGCTATTTACTATTTACCTCAATTACGACAGGTGTGTCATATTTAGAGAAACACAGTTCGAAAATGGCGATAATAAAATTTTCCTTATCGGCATATATTGGGTAAATCCTAACGATTCTATGATTTGTTTTACGAAGAACGCTTAATATATTGTGCCTATAGATTAATACTCATATTAAATATGTATGTGTTCGTAATATAGTAGGTACTAGGCAGTTAAGATAAAATGCTCTGTAAATAACATATAATAAAAATTAAATACAAATAAAAGTTTCTTCGATTTTCCTCCTTTTAGTAGGAAATCGGAAAAACCACGCTTCCTAGTGTTGTTATCTACATTATTGGAAGAAATGACATTGCAGGAGCAGTAGATTTTTTAAAATGTTCACTATTATTAATTAAAGGTTCTATCTATAGAATGATTATCCTACCTATATATAAAATCGTGAGATAGAACTCTACTGAGGGTGAGTTTTTTTTACGTTAACGCGATCTACACGTTTATCACGTTCCACTAATTAGTGCTGAGGGCTTAGTAATAGAAACGAGACCACGTTCAGCGCTCTGATTGGCCGTCTTCAATAAACCAACCAATCACAGCCGCGCCGAACGCGGTCTCGTTTCGATTACTTTAAACGTAAGCCTGAGGGCTTAGTACGAGTTTGTGTGATCAACCATTAATGATTAATAATTGGTCATTTGAAGCAGCCCAATCAGAGGCCTTAGTATGAGTTCGATTTATGTTTAAAGTATTCGAAACGAGTACGCATTCGGCGCTCTGATTGGTTGGTTTATTGGTGCCGGCCAATCAGAATGCCGAACGCACGTACTAAGGCCTCTGAGCACTAAACGTCATAAACGTGTCGATTACGTTAACGTATAACAAAGCCGCACTAGGCCCTCAAGTGTAAGACAATGTTCATCAATATTATGACGACAAATACTGAACATAATTGATTGGTTGCCCGGTTTCAAAGAAACGGCAAAAGGCATTTTGTTGTGATGTTCCTATCCATTTCGTTTTATCAAGAAATTATTTTTACGTCATTCTACGGGTAAAAAACTTGATTTTAATATCCATGTAGGATTAAGGAAGTATAATTATATTAATAACTACATATACACTTATTAGTTTTCAAGGGATATGTAGGTAATATGTATCACCTTGTAGCTTCCACTACCTACTTCCTCGCTACTTCCGATTTCAGAAAAATTGCAAGACAAGGCTTTATTATAAAATAAAGACTGAAGAATGTCTGGACTGTTTGTTTGTTCAGGATAAACTAAATTCAGATAATCACAAAATTCTTGAGGGAAGTTTAAGTTACATGAACATTTGAGTAAAAATTTGGTAGGCTGCGCGACATCGCTGCGACCGCGGACGATGCTCATGAGGAAGAACCCCTCTGTGGTCCGAAACTAGTAGAGCTTATCTCAATATATTCACGTGAGTAACCTGCGATTTTTAGTAAATGTAAAAACCTGCGCTCTATAAATCGGAATTATCGGACCTCGTCGAATTTACCGTTTGGTTTGATATTACCTAACAGTTAGTATTGTTTTTATATGTAAATACCAAACTTGTCTATGTTTCAGTCTAGTGACACTAATTTACTATTAATTAGGACTTAGATTAAAATTTCGGATGCAATAAAAAGTGCTAAACAAGTTTTTCTTTCAAAAAACACCAGAAGTTAGTAGGTGTTTCACCTTCATGGCTCATTAAGTTTGTAAATCCTGTTCCTAATCTTCCTCAATACCTACCTGTTCTATCAGAGCTGTCCCATTGGACTGTGACAATGATTAGCGCACCTGAGTATTGCACACGACACTAAAGTGTGAATAGTTGAGTGTCGCAAATGAGTTCGTTCATTCGAGTACCCAGTGACCCTCTCATTGTTTTCCTGGGATTGAGTTTTACTAGTAAAAAAAGGTAAGTAAGGTATGTTCCGAGTGAATTATTAATTTTCGTGTGCTGACTGAAATTAGTCATTATTGTTGGGAGCTAAGGTTCTTTCTGCTGCGTCCTGCCACACCAACGACGCTGCTGTACGTGTCCCGGCTGCATTACACTACAAAGGTTGAGGAGATCGTAGAGTACATCCGAGTGAAATCCAAATTCGTCATGAGAGTCGAGCGGTTGGAGTCTCGTCATAATACAAACTTCAATTCCTTTGTGGTGAGGGTGCCCACTGAACACCTGTCGATTCTTATGAAGGAAGAATTTTGGCCGAAATGTGTAGTGTTCCGGCGATTTCGAGGCCGGATACCAGACACCGAGCGACACACGACTCCGATACTTCGTGTAAAATAAGCAGTAAAATTAAATATTATGTATATGTGTGTATAGTATTTGCAACCTGAATTATTTGTATTGTATTATTGTATATTTCACTATGGGCCAAGATGCCTGAGACAAATAAATAAATAAAAAATAAAAATTTCTGATTTAAACGTCACCGTTAAAAAAAATATAGTATGAATTGAATAGTAGGTTTATTATAGTTTGAATAGTAGGTTCATTACCGGCTCTATCAGGTCCATCCCAATGGACTGTGACAATGATTAGCGCACGTCTGAGTTTTGCACACGACTGTACAGTGTGAGTAAGCAAGTAAGGTATGTTCCGAGTGAGTTATTTAATTTTCGTGTGCTGACTGAAGTTGTCATTATTGTTGAGAAGTCATTATTGTTGGGATCTAAGGTTTCATTACTGATTTCAACGCGACCGTTAAAAAAATTGTTTGAATAGTAGGTAATTCTACTTTAACTTATGAATGTCGAAATGCCTATTCAGGCAGTTTTCCTAGTCAATACATTAAAACCTATCATGAAACGTCCTTCTTGTCAAAAGAAGCTTATATTTGCACGACTGCAAAGAGCTATTTTTCACGTCAGAGAGCCAATAGACAGAGATTGCTTAGAATCAGGTGATCTATATAGAAGCAATCTCCGTCAAGCATAATATTATGCTCGTTTGTCTCCTTATGTCTAAAAATTCAATCAAATATGTTTCTGACCTGGTTGAATACACCTCGTGTCGAAGAATAAGTTTCTCCCTTCACGTAGGGTGGTAATGTGGCTGTGGAGCTGATGCTGCGAAGGAAACTCTGCAGGGCTTCATATTCATCAGCTTTTTTTGTCTCTTTGCTGACGATTTGAGGGACTTGGCCCTCGCCAAGCATAGCCTCGTGGGCTCCATCACTGTAACAATAATAAACAGATAAGTATAAAGGCAATTAGTTTAATAGAGGATTAAATAGTCTATAAGTCTTCTTGTGGCGTAAAGAAGATCAAAAAGCTAATTTAATCAGAATAATTTTGGCAAAGTTGAGCTCACTGGTTTTTGGAAAGACTTTTTAACAAAACACAATATCACAAATAAATATTATTGTTGATAAACTAAAATCTAATAATCCTATAATGGACAGATATATAAACTTTTGTAAATAGAAACGAGTAAATGAATAGGAATGTAAGAATCGTAGTAATTGGCGTTCCAAAGTTCCATAGTTCCTACCCCCATGGGAAACAGGCGTGTATTGACGAGTAAATGGAGATGCATAGGTACCTCTTAGAGTTCGAATTCTTAGGGAAACGTCCTGAAGATGTTTGATGACCTAAAAGTGACTTTAGTTCTATTTTGATTGTAAATAAACAGAATCAGATATCACAGAGGTGACCGTTCCAAACCTACGCGAGAGAAAATACACTGAAATATAATCAGATCACATCGATAACACATAACACTATATTCCAAAATCCGTCACATTTCTGAAGAACGGTACCTAGTGTAGCTATAGCTTATAGATGATTTAATAGAGTTTCAACTTTTTCATATTGTAATAGAGTTGAAAGTCCTTCTCGTGGCAGTTTGCACTTATTCGTTCATATATAAAAATCTATATAGATAGCTACATAGATGAAAGATAGATAGTTTTATTAGCAAATTCTTTTTAGATCAACGTGCAATGTTTACAGATTACGAATCAGCTGTTATTTTTGTTTGCAAAATGGCGTAATGTTCGTGCCAAGAGTAAATAAAAAGGTCATTAGAGTTCAATGTGCAGTCACATAAGGTCGGATTTTAGATTAAAATATAAATTCTGCCTTTTGTCATAGGGTTGTGAGTGCGACTGCGAAAAATGAGGTCTCGATTTCGAAAGCTTTCTTTTTTAAATAAACCTTTGCCCGACATTAGGATTTCTCTTTCTTTCTCCTGTGTCGTGGGTGCGTTTACAAACATACAAGTTCACATACACAATGACACCCAGGCCCGAAACAATTTGTGGATCACACAAAGTGTTGTTCCGTGCAGGAATCGAACCCGCGACACGTTGTACGGTAGCCGGTTGCCCAGCCACTGCACGGTTGGTGCAAATCAATACAAATATTTAGTCAGATGGACAAATATTTAGTCTTCTTATATTAATGTACACCGACTTATTTGCAGTTAATAACTATCAGGCTACAATCTACAATAATGGGTTATTTTATATTAAATCTGCTGATCAATATCTATCTTGATAGTCAGTTTTAAACTAGATTCGTCCCAGAACATACCAGTGTAACTGCAAGAGTATTTGGTATGCCCAAAAAATTCAGTTTCTTGCTTCACTCTCATAATTCAGGTTGGCAATCCGACACGACCGGACGCCGTAAAACGTAAACAATAAACAGTCAGACGCAATGACACATTATGAAGACTAAGAATGTAGTACATACAGTACTATATGTATACGGTGTCGCGGAGAACCTAACGGGTTACCGGGGCTCCGGCTCGACGTGCAGGAGAAGGAACGGGGTGGTTTTTAGTCAGTAAGAGTCTGACACTCCCTCCCGCCTCACCCAGGCGGGAGCAGTCATTCGATGATTTTCCCCCCTTAAAAAAATACGTATACGGTATACGTGTCTTTTAACGCACATAGGTATTGAATTGTATAGAAATTCCATATTTTGGGCTATAAGAGATAATTTTATTTATATTACCTCTTTTCGCCTGAAAGTGATACCTAATTATCAACAATCCACAAAAATCTTGGTTTGGTTTCAGTGTTTGAAAGATACTCCATATAATCGGCCTTAATCCAAGGCATTTGGATTAAGAATTAGAATTTGGTTAATTTTGGCCGTGAAACCAGCTTTAACATATCCGAAGGAATTTTTAAACGAACACATTTAGATATGTTCGTATAAAATGATCTCTCTGATCTAATTAGTTACATCTTTGTCTTTTTATGGAATAGGAAGTATACGATCACCTGATGGTAAGCGATCAGCGCCACCCAACACAGATCATTCCACAGTTTTGAAAGCTAAGAAAAGCTGTGGTCTGCCAACCATCTATAGGATGGGGATTGAAATGTTGTCGTGAGGATCGATGGCGAAGAGACGTGGTAGGTATCAGACCAAACAATTTCTCAGAGCAGTACCCGTTACCTCGGGTACTACTACTACTACTACTACTACTACTACTACTACTACTACCTGATCTATCATCTACACCGATTACAAGGAAAACAAGCGTGCCAGTATCCAAGAAGGTGTGTCATAATCGCAGATCTATTTCAACGACAATAGACAATGAGATTGTTAATGCCTCATTTGTTTAAAAATATCTCTTCATTGAGAATTAATTGTCAGTCATTATAGTCACTGTGAACACAGTCCATGAAATTAATTAAAAGGTGGAAGCTAATTTTGCCGTCCAGTAGTCGAAGCAAATCCGATTAATTTATTATGGGTTCGCTACGTAGATACTTAGTGTTTAATACTTTGCGGACATTCTTAGTACAAATAACTTACGTAATTTACCATAACATTCAATTAATTTATTATATTATGTTATGTTATATAATAGTTATAATCTTACTTAATAGCTGCGCAAGACGTCAATTATATAATTCCTCATTATAATAATAGCGACTCAAAGAAATTTTATTTGCAAAATATTTTTCATCTACAATTTTTTCGAGATGATGTACCAACCTGATGTACTAACCTGGGTAGAATTTGATTGGTTAATTTATAAAAGCGAGCGATATCCATTCCCACCTGGCCATTTACTATTTTGAATTACAAAATAGACAATAATTTACCTTTGTACCAACAAAATAACAACAAAAACAACCTAATGTAAACCAACTTCATTCAATTCTGATTCACAATCATCCTTTTAAGTAATTCAATTATATTATTTATTACCATTGATTTATTAAATAAATAGAGTCATTTGAGAAGAGACCTTAATTAGTAACTAATACAGTAATAAGTTATATGGCTACATAGCAAATGTTACGACATGAATGTTTGTTTGGTACAAAGGAAGCCTTTCAGTTCTTATACAATAACTATAAAATAAAAGGGGACATTTTATTCTTGTTTACAACTTTAAATAATCAAAGCTCTTGTGTGTAACCAGGCAACAAGTATGAAGTAAAATTTATCTGTCTCTACTGGAAATATAAAGATGCGCTGTAAAGTTTATGTGTACGGTGCAATCTTGGGCACGGCTGATTAGCTTCCTGTTTTTACATTATAAGGAATGATAGAGGATTCGAAGATCATAAGTAGGCCTTATTTATAAGCAACGGCATCAAAATCGTTGCAAAACCGTGTGATATAGAGTAAAGTGACGCATTTGTTAATAACCCATCTCAGCTATGGGTTTCGCAAGGGCCGATTATGGGACCAGAAAATAGAGACAGAATAACGACGCTCTAATAAACCTGAAGCTTTTAAACTGAGATCTGTAACACGAATGCGAAACGAGATGCTTATAAAAGACCCTGACCCATAATAGTCATGGACTGTCACGTAAAGTCGATGTTAGCAAACTTATTTGTTAACGAAACGAAACAACTGCGGATTATTTTGATCACGTGACTGCTCAATCTACATAACTTTTCGTATGTTCGTCAATTTATACTATATTATAATTATATATATGAAGTTATTTATGTATGTACATATTTTGTGTTTATTATATATTTTTATACAGTATGTTATACAGTATTTATTATTACTATTAGTTATTTATTTTGTTTTTTTTTTGCATATTACACAGGCCCATTTTCGCTGAGCTTACATTTAACCCAAAGGTTGACTGGGAGAAAATGCCATATGGCATTAATTCCGCCTTATGTACCTTATTTTGTGTGCATTAAAGTGTAAATAAATAAAATAACTAATGCATCATTGTCTATATCATTCACGATTACAAATACTGAGTTAACTAATTCCTATGGAAACTACTTATTAGCAGATATCTAATAGCTAGAGTATTGCACTGTACTTAATATCAACTATAGGTCGGTGTCTACATCTCAATAAAAATGCTACTCACATTGAAAATTATCTACAAATCAATTTAACTTTGCCATAAAGGCACTGATTAAAGATTTGAGACTCACCTTTGAACTCTGATGACCCTGAATTTGTTAAAATGTATATCAAAGCCGAATATTGTTAGGACCATTTTGTAAAGTCACACACGGGTCAGGGCCCTTCGTCCTGACGTCTACTTCGCGTACTTAGCGACTGCAACTGGCATAATGTAATTAAAAATAATTTTATCAGTAACCCTTAACCTTCTTGTTGTGTCTAGGTATGTAGATAGGTAAGTATGCCTATATTACGCGTAGATGTTGTGTAATATGTAGTAGGTACATAGTATATGCAACATTGTCGTGATTTAGAGGTATAATAACCTATCAATATACAACTAATGTTAAAAATCGATACATATCCACAGATTTTGGATGGAGATTGGTTAATGAAATCGGCAGTAGATCTATCTATATGATTATGTTTGTCTCAGAACTTGTAAATCCAACTAATCTAAGTATACTAATATTATAAAGCTGAAGAGTTTGTTTTTTTGTTTGTTTGTTTGAACGCGCTAATTTCCAAAACTACTAGTCTGATTTGAAAAGTACTTTCAGTGTTGGATAGCCCATTTATCGAGGAAGTCTATAAAATATCACTCTACGATTAATAGGCGCCGAGCAGAGCGAGTGAAACCGCGCGGAAGTAGCTAGTACGTAATATAAATGCGAAAATTTGTTAGGATATACAACGTATATTTTTGTATCTTTGTTGTTTGTTCTTCTATGCAAATTCGAATGAGTGGGTGCTAATGAGTACGTTTGTTAATACCTACTGTTCTATGATTTCAATTCATTGTTCGTGCGTTATTCGATTTT